GGGGGGGGGGGGTGCAAAGGCAAACGCCCAACCGCTGTTCTAAAGGCATGCATGGCTGCCGGCTTCAAAGCTTGCCCAAGGGCCAAGGCTAGCTAATACAGAGACTTGGGTGGTTGGAATGCCTGACGCGGGCCTTGAGCACGAGCGTTGCTAAATGAGAAGCTCATCTCATGCTCACACTGCACGGAGCGCTTAAGCAGCAGCTGTTAGTTTGACGCCCTCCCGGGCCTTGGGGACTTGCACCAGCTGCCTTGGCCTGCGCGACAAGCCAGCTGACAGCCGAGCATATGCTGAGTTTGCACAGTTCCTGCGAGGAATTCCGGCAAACGAGCTGAGAAATGACCCAAGAATGCGTCAACCTGAGGATGAGGATGCGGATGAGGAGAAGGAACGCTTCGATCTCGTCACCGTCAATACTATGCTGCAAATACCGCGGAGCCCGCAGTGACAGCAAAAGGCGTGGCAAGAGCGCACCGCCAAAGCTTCTGGAGCAGAAGCAGATCCTCACACAGGAGGAGATCTGGCAAGAGAACACGACATCTGAGACACCAAGCCAGGGCCAGCAGGTGGATTGAAGACGCGGAAGAATACACACTCTGCTTCTTAGATCATCCGCTCGATGACCCATATGAACCACCCCCGTTCCCGTTCCACCGGGTGGACAAGACGCCTGAGGATCTGGCGGACCTTGCCAGAGCGGCCGCACTCTTGCGGCAACACGTGCAAGATGTGCTGCTCGACGTTCAACATGGAATGGCAGCTTGCAACCATGAACCACTTCCCGGTTGGGAGGCAGCCAGGCCACCCGGGAACATGCAGAAACTTAGACATTCCAGAGGATCTCCCAGAAATGGCGTCTATATTGAGGAGTGAAGCAATTTACGCCAAGATCATCCCAGCTAAATGCATTTTTCGGTTTTTTAGGCAGACGGGCTCCAATTTACATACTTCCGCGCCTAAGTATCTACTATAGCTACCTTGAAATGTAGGGTTATGGCTGACCCTGAGCCCATGGGCAAGGCTCGCCTCGCGCAGAGGCTTGCATAATTCATGGGTGTGCATGGGACAGATGCAGCATGCACCGGCAATAGTTTGACATTTGAAAGTACAGGTGTGTACTGCCAGCTGAACTCTCGCTTTCACCACAATCCACCGTCCTTTTTGGTTGCCTGCAGACTCAGATGACAGGTCTCAGCATTTACTGGCAAATACTTCTGGCAAAAAGTTTCCGACTGGGTGGGGCATAGTATTTTCACCAGGCTGTGTGCATACCCCCCCCTTTATAACTAGCATGGGCGTTATTCCAGAAGCCAGAAACGATTAGAGCTGGAGCGCTTGTGGCGGTTTCGCAGCAAGTTCCCTTTCCACTAGCGGTGGAGACGGCTCATGCCACCGGTGCTGAATGGTCTTCCACGGCGGATGCGAATTCTTGTTGAAAGATTGAAATACAGTGCCTAGCAAGCTTGCAGCCCTTACGATGTAAACACAGAAGGGCCCTTTACGCCTTCAGAATCAGTCAACATGCCCGCAAGTGGGCGCCTTGCTCCAAAAACGCGCAGGGGAAACACCAGACTTTCTTTTTAGGACTTTACCATGCCCCACCCCAAGAGAGAGAGAACCATAATCATTGTGAACATTCATTTGGAAACATGTTCTTGCATGGAATTTCCGTGCAGACGGGGTCGAGTCTGCTTGGATGCAGGTTGGGGACATCAGATCGCATCTCCCAAGTCTGCGCAGAGTTTCTGGACTGCTTCTCATCAGCACGCAGTTTTGGGTGCAGGTCCCAAAGCAGAAGATGGCTGTTTTGAACCTGGAAGGGTCCAAAACACAGAAACTCTACAGCCTGAGGCTAGTCCTATGCAGTGATGGCATTGTGCTTTTAAGGTCGCATAGCTTGTTGCTTGGAATTGTGCCAGTGTGTGGTGTGGCTACAAGAGAAGGTGGAAACCAGGACTGCGTACCGGTTGATGGCAAACATGTTCTACCCTCGTTCTGCACACCATTTTCATTTTCCGCGCCTGCGGTGTTTGTGGGCTTGCTTGCTCTCAAACAGGCTACTGTAGCTGTGTAGCAGCTGCCCCCGTGCGTGGTCCCATGCCCAGCCCTCTTATTGTCGGAATGCAGCGTGGTGGATTTACCACGCAATCCCCTGCAAAGTCTCCAGATCCTGATGACCCCCCATAGCCCTCAAAACTGGCATGCAACATCCGTCTTGCGCGCCAAGGGAACTTGTCGAAAAATCCGATGAGGACAGCCTGCGGACTCATCCACTTCCATCATGCTTTGCATTGTCAGCGATCCAGTGGATCATGGCACAGATTGATCAAGTGGACTGTGGGCATGCATCCCACAACCGTCCCATCTAAGCAATACATTAACACTGGCAGGTTGAGGGGTGAAACTCAACTACGCCGACTCACTGAACATGGGATTCCTCATCAAGCTTACTCTTGCACTCCAAGAACACCATTCCTCAATCGAGCCTGCTCATCTTCCAGGACAGATGGCCTGGGCTGCGACAACATGACGCTCCTCTGCCCGGGGCCCACAGACACCAAACAAATCCCAGCATCTAAGCGCCAAGAAAAGGGTTCGGATGCCTTTGCATGATGAGGAGGACATGCAGTGTTTTTACACGTGTTCACGAGAAAAGCGCGAGCCCCTTTCATCGGTTGTGCACCTGACGCGGGTCTGCCAAGATAATGCCTCGCCAAATGGGCATCATCTTCAGTGTTGTTCTGAAAGGATTCATGCGCAAACATCAAGCTGTCATCCCCTTGAAGCCCCTCATCCTGAACCTACAGAAAGCCAAAGGGAAAGTCCCTTCAGAGGTGTAGACCTTGGCTCTTCCTCTGCTTCAGCTGCAAGGCTTGGACATTTACAGGTTCCTTCACTTGGGTTTCTCTGTTCTGAGGGAGGAACCCGAGCCCTAACCTTGTTGTGATGTCCTTGCAGGCAAGAGAGCCGGCAAGAGATGCCAGCAGCAGACATGTCAGCAGCGCAGAGGCGCATGGTTGTCTGTTGGCTTTTCGCGTTACGATTACTTCCGGGAAACATTTGAGCAGCCTACCTTGCATGACAAGAAAGCAAGCAACCCAGTTGTGCGAATCTGCAAGCTTGATGAGAACAACTCCGCGGCTCAGCGCAGCCCAAAATCAGCCTGGAGAGTTTTATGTGAGTTGCGTAAAAAACATGCTTTCATTCCAAAGGCTGCAAGTCAACGTGATGTGATCTCAGTGATGTGATCTCAGTTGTTGCAGGTAGTCGCCAAGCTGCAAAATCCTTTGACTCTTTGACCATCTGAACAACCTGCCACAAACCCCTAATCCCGAAGCTCGGGTGAAGCATTCGCGACTTGAATTCGCTTCATTCGTTGCTGGCTAGTCGCCGCTCCTGCCCCACATTCTGCAGCTTCCAGATCTTTGAAACGTGCCACTCCACGCGTTGAATCCTATTGCACTCAAAAATCTGGAGTGCTGAAATGAAGAACAGAAGGGCTTGTGCGCCGAACCCGCGAACCCCTAGCCATGAACGTATGTGGCTCTGAATACTAAACCTTGAAGCTTGTAAATCACACTTCCGAAGCATTGGCTGATGCAGTTCACCCCCGACTCAGCGGCTATCGCAGCATGCAGCGGCAAGGCGCATCATGCTGCACCGTGGCTGCAAGAAAGTTTGCAACTACGCACTTCGCAGGCAAGTCACTTGCAGTTCCTGATGCGTTGCCCCCCTTGCTGTAGTCTGCCATGTTGCCTGCCATGTTGTTCACGCACGTGGGCTTCAAAAGTACGGATGGCAGTACCGCTGGCAGCAACTGTTGCAAGCACTTGCCGACAAATCATTGCAGGTTTTGCAGAAGCCCAGCTGGTCGCAAGCGAGCGGTTCTACTGGCTACGGGCAGGCCCATGTAACGTCTCCTTGCCATTATTTGTATAGCAGGCAAGTTGGCTTGCTGATGTTCATACCCCTGCTGCCTGAGAAATCCTGCCGATTCTGGTGCAAGTTTTTCTGCGTATAGTTCATGGTTTTTGCGTCTGTGCTCAGGACCCGTGCTGTGCGCTCCCGGCCTATGGAAAAATGAGTTCAGTTGTGTATGAACTGCGTGGTCCAAGCTCCTACAGTACACATTTATGACACTCCAGGGAGTGACTAGGGCAATTCGAAGAAATACAAGAGTGGAGTCCTTGTTAGTAGGCAGATGCCACGTTATGCAAAGGGCTTTCGTCTCTGCACATACTTGGTTGCTGACGTGCCGTGCCACCGCCTGCCACGTGGCTCTGGAGAACTCTAAGCTCGCCTCAGGATCCGTCCTCCCTCGCCCTGCAGCTGGGCTGTGCATCAAGAAGGGTGCAATGCATGTGTGTCAGCTGTTCTTAAAGGCGTGCAGTACTTCTTTAGCATGCAGAGTATTTGCAGCATCGTAGTTCGGCTGCCTCACAGAGTACAGGCCTGACTACCTCTGCAAGCACCCCTGGGTGACATCAGGTGGTGGCGATTTCAACGTTCTACGTTCCGTGCCTTGCCTTCCAAACAGCGCTGGATGGCCTTCTTCTGAGCACAGAATCCCCACCAGCACGAACCAGCATTCCATGAAGAGGGAAGCTTTTTTTCAAGAGCAGTTGTGCTCCTGTGTTGCACTGAGGTACGTCCCGATCTGGACAAACCCTAAAGTCCAGCGATTCCATGGAGTCTGTCATCGAACTCGCTTATGAAGGTCTCTACATGTTGCGCATTGAGCTTGTTTTCCTCGTTGTCTTCGGCTTGCTTTGGGTTGCTGGCCGGGTCTTCGGCACAGCGAAGCGGACACAGCCCGGAAACCCTAAGGGCAGTGGCCGCAAAGCTGGCCCAGCAAGCACCCAACGCCGTCCTGGCCTCACCCAGCGACGCCCCGGCTCTGGCGATGAGAACCTGAGCCCGCAGCTGGGCAGATGAAGTTTCGATGGGATCAACATTAGGGCTGGCCCCGGGGAAATACGAACCACTGTTCGGATAAGATGCTCAAAGCGGGCCGTAGTCAGCCTTTTCTCTCAAGCAGCCATTGCTCCTAGCTTTCTTTCGTAGAACTCTTCAGGGGAACCGCCTGCCAGAATGGCTACGTAATCGTACGAAACTAAGAAGCCCTTTGCCCAATCCCACACGTGCATCATGACATGACAGAAGCTGTCATGTCATGATGCATGCCTAGGGATGATTCAGGGAGCACAGCTGCATCCTCGGCCCCAGTCGATAGGGCCAGACCGGAGACAACGTTGAGAGCAGAAACCCCTTTCATTGGCGATTTCAATTGGTTGAGACGAATCAGAGAGAAAGTTAGAGAAGGCTCTGACAGCGTCATGCTTGTGCAACATTTGAGTTTTCTCAGTCTTCTTAAAATTTGCTCTGTCGGTGCTCTCAGTTTTCTCTCGAACCTCTGCAAGGTTCTCTGAAAAGTTTTTTCACACTTGAGGTCCCTCTCTAAACTGTTCTGAAATCATCCTGTCACAAGTGGGGTTCCCTCCAAGCAGGTTTATTGCAATATCATGCCGGCCCCAGACTCAAGAGCACTCTCCCATCCCACAAGGCTCCCAGAGCACCCTAAAAGCCCAAATACGAGGACGCTCCAAAAGAGAGCCCAATTTCAAGGAAAAATGTGAGGACCCCCCGCCCTAAACAAGAGGCGATTGTGATGCCAAATTGTGTGGACCATCTTCTCTGGTGCAACCCTGAAAGCCTGCGGACAGGGACTGCAATCTAAACGCAAGAACCCCAGAGCGTCAGCTCACAGTTCGGGGAATAGTTGCTGCATGTTGCATAGGACAGGCGAGAACATTTTGAAAACTGACAGCGGAAGCTCGCAGCTGTCTACCTGAACCAAGGAACTTGCCTATCTCGGCCGTGGACCCCAAGAAGCTGCAGAACGCTTCCTGGGTGGTGACGCAGGTGACCCAACTTTGCCGCTCTCAGGCTGGAAGTCGCCTCACCAGGGCTGAGGATTTTAAGACGGGATTGGAGTATGCCGGGTTTTGTGCAGATCCTATATGGGGTTAGTTGACCACCTAGGAATCGCGTTGGGGATTACATGGCTCAATATGGGGACTCTGTGGGCGCGCAGCGATGGAAGCTGTCTCGAGCACGTCAGTTGTTTTTTTGGGGGCCGGAAGGGTCCGGAGGCACACGAAATAACGCCCCTCTTCCGGATGCTGCACGCATGCGACTCTGGACTTTTTCAATGCAGCTTCGAAGTCCCCCTGAGCCTGAAGCCTCTTATTGGCTACCTGCCCCCATCGTTTTACCCTTTTGCGAGCTGACAGCTGGCTTCAGGTGCAGAAAGCGCTGGAGCTCTACCGCGCTGCGCTCCGGGCTGGCCTCAACTTGGAGGACTACACACATTTGCCTACATGCGGTGAACTCATCCAAGTGTCAAGGTCGGTCTTGGCCTGGGGACTGTGGACTACCCCCCACTGTTTCTCTATGTTTACCTCTTCTGTGTTGAGGTCCAAGAGCTTTTTCGGCGAGATACGTGGGGATGGACAACAGGGCCAGTTGAAGCAGTCAATAATGGGAGGAGCTAGCAGACAACGGCTGTCAGAGCTTGACAACAGGTTTCTCGTAGGAGATTGCATCTTTGTCCTCTTGAGTAGGGAAACTTGTAGCTGAACAGCCATGTTGCTTTCCTTATTGCTGATCTTTCATACTGTTGGTTCTTCGCTTCGCCTGTGAAAGGGCGTGAGTCATCTCGCCATGTGGAGTTTAGGGCCTGTACCCCTCGGGCACCCATTGCCTGGGACCAGCTCGCTCATGGACTTTCAGCAAGCATCTAGGCATGGAAGTATATTTTTGCAAAGGTGCTTCGCAGCGGTCGTCCGAAGCCCTTGCAAGTCCCCTCCAGAAGGCCTCCCATCGGCATCCAAGAAACAATTCCCCACTGCCAGAGTTCTGTGTCGGAGGAGATGTTGGCTGAGGAGAGCCAGCAGCTTTCCACAGGCCTTGTCACAGCTGCCATCCGAGTGGGCCAGGCTGAGGACGCTCTGGGCGTCATGAAGGACACAGCCCTTCTTGTGGGAGATCTCGGATGATGTTGATGGCCTGGGCGGTCGTATTGTGACATCATACTTGTGTCATGATGACAGTACGCTGGTGATGGTGACCATGATGTGATGACGATGGTGAGCGTGCTTCTGTAATCACAGAAGGCACGCTGCAATGTGCCAGCGGTAGGCCAACTAAGCCGGAAGGCCTCTGAACAACAGAATAGTGCATGTGCTTTGTGAAGGACCTGCGCCGCGTCGGCCTCTCCACAGACCCTGCGTTGTTGGCCTCTGCTACAAAGCAGCTCGCACGCAAAGGGAGGGTTTTTAAGAATTGTAAATCAAGCTGCAAGTGAGTTTCATAGACTCTAGGATGTGGATCCCGCAGGCGGCAAGGTCTCTACTGATCATTGCTGGCAACAAGCTTGCAGAAGCCAGATTGGGCCTAAAGCAGCTAGTTGCACCATCCCATGGTGGGAAGCATTCTTCCAAGGGTCATCGAGAACGCAGCAGTAAGAATAACGAGTCGTCCCATGGCACCCATATTCAATCGAGGGATACTTTATGTCTTGGGCATAAACACTGGGAAGGTTAAAGGCAAAGTTAAAGGAGCCGTGATGATGAGACACCTTTCTCCCAATGCGCCAGATGGAAATTAGTTTCCCTCTTGCCGGATTTCAAGCTCTTCTTCACACAACTTTCCATGAAACAAGTTTCTGGTCAGTTTGCGTTTGGTTTGGGAGAACGGATAGACAACAACAACAACAACACTACACACCCCACTTTTGGGCGCTCTCATTTCCGATGCATTTCTAGGATCCCTTGAGGCCCCGCACCCACCCCCGCTTTGAGAACCCCTCCCTGCCTGGCCCCAGGCTCTGCACCTCCAAGCAGCATCTCGTCTGCTGAGTATTTTAATGTGGAACTATTTGTGAGGGTTTTCATGAACTGGATTTCAACGTTTTTTTGGGTTCCTTTAACAAGGACTCCAATACATTGGAGTTTGAAAGGGCTTTGAAAAGGATTGCTGGCTCTTTCACCGGCTTTTTTTTGGGTTGCATGCGTCTGGGAGAGGGTCTGAGGATGACAGGTTTAAGGTTGTAGGTTTACAGAGGGTTTAGAGGCATTATTGGAGGGCTGTGCAGATGGGCCGGGCCGGAGCGTTGACTCCGAACATCCCTTTCCGCATTGAAAAGGTGGTTTGCATTTCGCATCCTTGGTTTCAGATGCGGTGCCTGCCGACAGCAAGACCTCCAGTCATGTGGATTATAGGGTTAAGGCAAGTCGCGAATCCGTGTGCTACAGCTGGGCAGCTGCAGAATGTCTGCCAACCTTAACCCAACGATTAAACGCGCGCAATGCAGGATTCTTAGCCTGCAGTCTAATGTTGACCCAAACCTTTAACTGTCCATCATGGACCCTCAACATCCAGTCCATGAGTCTTTCCTTTGCCTGGCGAAAGATTTCGAGGTGCAGAGTCGTGTGATGATGAGAATCCACAGAGCGCTCCAGAAAATGCCGCACCTGTAAGATAAGATGCTTGGTTGGTATCAACCTCGGTATTCCGGCAGAGCATTCAGGCTCTTTGCTGACTGCCTCGCCATCTACGACTTTGCCTCGCAAGATCCCAAGCTCACCATTCAGGACGGTCAAAGCATCTGCAAAATGCGTCCATCAATTCTGAGTTCATACCACCTGAAAGGGCCACATAGCCACCTGGTGATGTGTGTGTCCTTTGTGGTTGGTTCAAGTTTGGCAAGAGGCTGGCATAGAGTTGTGGCATTGGATTCTCATCTGTTTTCTGAGTGGTGTTGACAGTCATAGCTGCGACCCTGGACCCTAGCACACCTGATGAAACGGAGTTGCCGTAACGACTCCCACGTTACTAATGACCTTGACAGGTGCTGGGTGCTGACTATCGGTTTCGTGCCTGCAGTCTTTCGAGCTTGCAAATTTAGGCTCTATTGCCTTAGACAAGGTTGTGCAAGTTCTTTTGCAGAGCCCAGAAATTTCCAGGTGCCCTAGACACTGCAAAACCTCCTCAAAGCACAAAACACAAGTGGCAGTTGACTGGCGCTTGCCCAGCGTCATTGGAGTGGCAGATGGGTCAAAGGAGAGGGGGACAACCTTAGCTAGGATACAGCAAAGACCATTTGGGCCCTTCCTTGGAGTAGAGCATCATGCCCTCGCGACCGGAAGTAGAACCAGTACCTTAAGTGAGCAGAGCACCTTTGGGCACGACAGTCTCACTTACTGTCAGTCGTCAAGCTTCGGTATCTAAAAGCATGATCACCTGGCACATAATTAGTCTGGCATGGGCTCATGCTGCGAACTTCGATCATGACAGTACAGACATTTTAAGTTCACAGTTTGGCAGTTGAAACGCATTCCCAAGCAAGTGTGCAAATGTGCTTATGAGGAAGTCCTAGAAGAGGAATGATACCCTTTCCATCCTCAACTCCCGTTTGTCTCTTTGAAGAAACGGCTGGCTGGTTGTGCAAAAGCCCAGAACATCACTGCGCAATCCCTGCAATCCTCCACATATAGCAGGACAAGAGCGTTTGGAGCTGCCTTCTTTTCTGCGCCGTGGAGACCAAAGGCTGAAGGGACATCGTCCTTTGCAGGGGTTCGCTTGAGGATTGATGGTTTATGGGGTTGAGGTGTTGCGGGCTTAGGGGTTCGCAGTAGAGGCTTCATGTCAATGTTGTTTTGGTGTCTTTTTGCACCATCCATATATAGCATCCATTATATCATGAGTACTGTTTTGGCGAAGAAAGTGGACGAGTCATCTCGTCGTGCGAAGGGTTCCCGCAGCAGTTGGAATGAGACTGGGAAGGGCTTGGTCGTTAAGTGGCCTGAAATCTCAAAGCTCGGCTTTTCTGCAAGGGTTTGTCGTGCGAAGCAGCGATCTGAGAGTTTGTGGTACCGTGCCTGAGGGGTGCGGGTTCAGCGGGTTGGCAACGAACATAGCGATAGCATGTCATGGCTTTCCGGGTCACTTCTCCCCTGTCGCATCACAAGCTTTTTTTACTGGAGGCTATGGCCGCTGCGCCTACTTCTTCGAGCGGCTCAAAGCTTGCGGCGCGCCCTCACCAAAAGACTTCGGCCGCCCGGCAAGTTTCTGTGTGAGAGTCATTGGCAGTTTCCAATCTCTATAACGTTTAGATTCTAGAAAGCGAACTGAACTGAGTCCCTGGGAAGTCTTACCTTGCCTCAGGATCATTGTGCTGCCCATAGAATTACTGGGTGCAAAAGGGACCCCCGTCACGATTGAGCTCGGAGAGGTCATAAATGAAGCTATGAGTTCGAACCTATGACCATAAAGCGCGGCCGGAAGAGAAAGGGTCAAGCTTGTATTGCAGAATAATGATCTCCACAGCCGTCGGACCGCAGGGCCAAAAAAAGAACAGTCATGGAGCCTTCCAAGCTTTGCAGAGTCTGCGATTGCTGCGTCGCGAGGCAACATGGTGCGTTTTGCATCTAGCACTGGCAACTGGCGCCTGGCATTGAGCTTGATTGACGAGATGCACAAGGCATCTCACGTGGGGGTTGGCAGAGGGATGATGTTTCCGTAGCTGCCTCCTGGTCATGGTAGGAAACAGCCCCGGGGTTCTTGTGAGGCGGCACAGCCCTTTGCTGCAACGACATGAACTGAGACCTCCGATGAGTGATGTTGCAGGCCAAAGTCGAGGTGGACAGTGTCGTGTACAACACCGCCGGGGCCTCAATGCTTGATCAAAATCCTGAACGCAGGCTCTCGTTGCCTTTTGAAGGAGCCAACCTACCTCCCTATTCCGGGAAGTAATCCAGCGGCCCAAACTTCGGAAGTACCAAGATGGCAAGACCCCAGCAAGCGACTTTCCTGAGGTTCTTGCTGCCTGCGTTAGCGCTGAGCAGCTGGATCAGGCGCTGGTGGATGCTTACAGTCATACAAGAACAGCAGGCAAAACTATTTTTGAAACTGAATGACCTTGCATACTCATTTGAGGGACAACTTGGTGTTTAATCTATACCCCGAAACGAGTCTTCAAATGCACATTTGCTTCGCTTGCTTCAGTGGCAGCTGGGATGTTTGTAATATGGAAGAGGGGATAAAATTCAGCACACGTTCCAGAGAAGCAATCGGTATCGACAGTCTCTACACGATGCGCGAACACTAGTGTTTGTCACACATTTTTTGAGCATGCCCGGATCAAAGCCACGTTTTCATCCAGCCCGTCCTGACAAATATGTACTGCGCCTGCTGCTGCTTTGACATTTGTGACTCCATGACGAATGATGTTGCGCTGCAGTGCAAGACTTGTCGCATCATCGTATGTCTCCAAGCCTTCCTCTTGAATTAAAACCTTTGCCCAAGTTCCCACTTCAGAGCATCTGAAAACACAAATAAATGCGCGCGGCCAGAGACGTAAATCCGCAAATACCGTGTGTTGACCCTGCACATAGATCCCAAGACTCCTAATGCCGAAGGCCGTAGACGGCCATTTTGAGAGATGATTTTCAAAGTCGCATAAACCAGCATACGCGTTCTGCTATCATGACGACTAGTATAGTAGCGAGTAACACATTCTACAAGTAGCGGCAGCATACCATTCTCGACTCTTTTTGTGATTCCCGCTGTCGCTCCTTAGTGTATCATTTGTTTTGCTAAGTCCCTACCGAGTGCGCCCTCGTGTGCGCAATGCTGCGAGGACAGCCTTCGGGCTAGCTTCTCTAGCGCTGAACATGCATCCAAATACTGGATCCCACGGAGTCAACCACAAACTCTCAAGTGCTGAGCTCCAAAGCATCACCTCAGCCAAATTTTACCGCTTGTGGTACTACAGTAAATATGCACGGACGATGCCGTGCAGAAATCGAAGCGTGAACAACTCTTCAATATGGGCAGCCGGCTTTACATCGTCTTGAATTTCTGGAGGCCAGCTAACAAAAAACGGATTAGGACGAGACCCCGCAGTCGCAAGCCTTAGCCGTGCTGAAAAGAGACCTTGTGTGCACAGGCTCGACAGCTGCTGGATGACATGGTGGAGGCTGGTGGCGTTACAGACGTCATCACCTACAACACTCTGGCAAAGGCACATGCTGGGTCTTGATGGAAGAGGGACTTAAACGTTGCAGATTTGACAATTTTTCAGATGTAGTCTTCTTGTTCAGGCCGGCATTCATGCCGTAAGGGCACGGAGTTGGAAGCGAAAGCCCATATCATGAGAAGGCCCCAGTAGGAAAGCTGCACTTCCCTGTCCCAACACTGGAGGGCTATGCCAAAGCGGGATGCATGGACACCTGCTTCGAGTTGTGCCTGAGCTGCTTTGGGTACTTCTCCGTACATAGCCGTAGCAAGTAAGGAGCCTAATGCGCCCCAAAGCAAGGATTCTCAGCATAGTGAGCTTCGAGATCCACAAATTCAAGCTGGTGCTTGCAGTGGTTCATGTTTTGGGCGACAGAGTCACGCAGAGTGCTCCGAAACTTCCAAGGTACAATCTCATGCGCTCGCGCGGCCTGACCCCGTCGCAAGTTACATATGGCATTTTGCTGGATGGCTTCATCAATGACAATGAGGCGGAGCAGGGTCTAGGTAGCAGAACAGACTTCCGGGCACTAGAGCCCTTCTTTCGAGGCTTTGACCGGAAGAAGATACACTCCCCCAAACTAACATGGAAACCCATATAGTCCCCTTTTAGAAGGACGCTAGTCTTAAAAGGGCCCTTTCTGTGTTGTGTACAAGGATAAGACTCGGGGCAAAGCGAGGACCCCTGAGGTAAGATGGTTTCGATATGTTTCGATGGTTTCCAAGAGCCAGAAGTTAGAGCAAGAGTATATCCCCCACCTGTTGAAAGGTTGCTCCTGGCTTGCTTGTCCTCCGGACGTCCCGTGGTTGTGGGAGCACGCCCATCTTGTGTGCAGGTCGAAAAGGCCGTGGAGATTTTCAACACAATGCGCGCTGAAGGGTGCCAAATGAACACAGCGCCTTGAATGGCAATTTGCTGTCTCGTCCTGTGGGTTGTCTTGGCCGCTGGAGGGGCTTTTCTCATGCACGCTTCCTGGAAATGTCATCTAAGCATGGCCCGATTCCGGTTCTGGGGCAGACGGGTCCATGATGGATATTAATTGATTACACCAGCTCGGAAAGGACCCAACTGGACCTTCAGAAGCAGCCTAGAGAAATGTCAGCAGTGATAGAAACAAGGATAGCAAGACTGTAGTCCTTTTCGGTTGTAGCATCTTCTATCAATGAAAAGGACAGTCTTTCTTGGTTAGCAACTAGCAAAAGCACAGGTGCTCTACACAACCTTGATCAAGGGCTTTGCTCGTGCTGGACAAGTGGACCAAGCAGTTAAGATCTACGAAGAGATGCAGAAGGTGCGCTGCGCTGTTACAGATTGATGAGCTTTTTTCGTGTGGCTGGTGGGGAAGATGAACGCATCCCAGTCATGGTTTGCACCCGCAAGACGGCCAGATTGTATCCTTGCACCATACTTTTGCTCAACATTTTTCCGCATTTTGCTTGATGCAGATTCTAAGGTAGTAGACGGACTCTTGCAATTGGATGGCATTTTCCAGTGCAATCCTTCAGACTTACGTTAAGATGCTTTATAGGAGAGATCCATGCAGCCCGACGTCATCACCTTCTCCATCCTCATCAAGGCAAACTGCGACGTGGGCAGGCGCGTACTGGTGTATGCAGAAGACATACAGCTTGAAATCGACCTGCTGCCAGAGATCCCTATACCTGCCCTATGCCCTGAGCTCCCAAATCCCTGCCAATGCAAGGCTGGAGGAGGCCCTGAAGATGCTTCTGGCCATGAAGGAGGCCGGGCTCAAGCCCGACGAGGCTCGACCACGTCCGGTTTGTCCAGAAGTTTGAAAGAGCGCGGAAAGTGTAACTTTGAACGACTCCAATTTCAACTTGAGGTGGTATGTAGGTGGACATGCCGTCTGAGGTCATGAATAGGTTGTGTAGTGTAGGATGTTGCATCATGGGCAGAGCGTTTATGGAACGTATGCTAGGCTTATCTGGTGATCTTTAGTGGCATTCTCGTTCCACAGGAGCATAGAATTTTGAGAAGGTGGCCAAGATGACTCAACGAGGCATCCTAAACTCAAAGCTCCGAATTCTGACTCAAACCAGTTCAAGTCTCACTAACCTACCCTGGACCGTACTTCCACGTTACATATGCCTGCAACATCTGATGCTTAACTGGAACGCAGGAATCTGCACCATGACTTCTCAGACAATCATTCGGCATTTAAACGGCAGCAAGATTTTTGGACTTCCTGCTTCTGGCATCAGTGTAGGTGGTTTTTAACAACCTCCTCGGCGGCTGCATCAACGACTGCAAGATTGACTTAGCCAAGGATGGGGTGTGACTTCTGAACTCAAATCTGCATGATTCTGTGGGCAACGTCGACTGTCTTTGCATCTACGATTGCTGTACCACTTGCCATCTTCCGGTCATGTGACTGGTCAAAACTTAGGTCCAGGTTATGAAGCAAGCTAGTTCCGACCCCACAGGGAAGGTTAACACCTTTGACTTACGTAGCCCAAGCCACGCACCATTCCACCACGGAGAGGGAAGAATTCGGACTCTGCTATAAAGCTGCAGGCAGAGATTTGTAAAACATTATTTCTTGTTCGTAGCAGCCCTGACGCCCTTGTGCTTTTACTCCCGACACCTTGTCTGCTGGAGGCGCTGTGACGGTCTCTAAAATCATACCATGGCTTCCATTTTGAGGGCTCACAAAGCCAAGCCGGAAATGGCTTGGGTGACTGCTGTTGCGGGTAACAATTGCAACTTCTGCAACTCTTTCGCTTGAAAGCTCGGCCCACAATTCACAGCTTGCCTAGCAGTCAGCGGTTACAAGTAGCCCTTAGAGGTGGATTCGTCAGATGGCCGCATCTGGCGCGTACCTTGGTTGCTGCGGTCCGCGGCCAAAACGCGTTGATGGCCGAGACTCGGCGTTTGTGGATCCAGAGCCACAGCCTTCGCGAAACACCCCGCCATTTGCACAGGAACTGGATGCAGAACGCTAAGAAGTTCTGAACCCAGTTCCTGAGCACACGGCGGTGTGTTTTGCGCAGGCTGTGGCTCTGGATTCACAAACGCCGAGTCTCGGCCGTCAAGGTAAGAAGAGCCCGTGAGAGCCGAACGACAGGGAGGGGGCTGGAGAAGCCAGCTCCGTTGCAGCAGAAGAGGAGGGAGGCGACGCTGACTTCAACTTGCTGACATCCTAATCCTATACATTCCTAGAGCTCAAACCTGCAGCTGTTGAATCTGCAGGGGTCCCGCAGGTCAATCAACAGTATTGCCTGTGGTGGCGCTGTCCAAAGTGTTCCGTAGATCGCTGGAATTGCAGTAGTTTAAACAGCACAAGATCTCCTCCACTGACAAAGTAGTTTCCCCAGTGACGCCCCTCGGCACCCTCATGATATTGCGTTAAGCCGCAAGGCGGCATCAGAAAAAAGTTGCAAAAGCAAGATACGGAAACATCAGCAATGCAGGACGGGGTTGCAGTGTGTAGCCTAGGCTGGCAGCAGAGCCCAGCGATACTTGCGGCAATCTCGTAAAAATGTCTGGCCGCGTGTGCGTGGCGTGGAGATGATTCCTGCAAACTCCTCCGTTGGGCGCTGCAAGTACTGCAAGGGGATGAGTCCCGGCGCATGCAGTTGCCAGAGAAGAGTAGGGCGTCACCAGGAGTAGAGTCATTGTAGTCAGCTGCCAAGCATCTGTTGGCAGAACAGTTTCACCCACTTCAGCAGCTGTCATGTTCCGGCAGCCAAAATCTTGACCATGAATGTTCACAGCTAATTGAGAGGATTGTCTGTGAGATTTCATGCCAGACAAACGTGCTGGTGACGGAAGATGACAGCATTTTTTGGCATTTCTGCTAATGCTGCAATCGAGCAGGTCAGGAAAAGGTTGAACATCGACCCCGACGCAATACGCTTGGCTGTATATGTTTAATGGATAAACTTCTGCAGCCCCTGAATCTCAAGCTTTTGCTTTGTTGCTCAATTTTTCTGCGTGAAGCTGCCATTTCCGTTTGCCTTCTTGCCACATGTGCATTGCGGAGCACCAAGCCTCTTCCAAACCTCTACCTAGCCACGGCCGCCCCCGTCTACCAGGACCTCTACAAGGAGATGCTGGCCTCCAGTGTTAAGCCTTCAGTGGCCACTTTCTCCATCCTCATCCGCCTCTACGCCCAATGCCCTTCTGATTGATTTGGGATTTTTTCAAAATCAGGGGGGCCTTCAGGGGAACTGAAGTTTTTGTGGGAATAATTTGGAAACGCTATGTAGTGACAGTTAGGGATTGCATAGGGGCTGTTTTTAAGATGTACCAATTTCTCATGATTTGGGATGCGTGGTGGCAGGGGGAGGGGGAGGGTAATAAGGGATTTTGAGTTGTGATTGGAGGTTCCAGAAGCTTCAAAAGTCAAGGCGGCGTAAGTTGCTGTTGGTGGTTTGGGTTGCGCACGTAGCTGGCATAGTTGCAAGCTAAGAATAGTAGAGTTCCTTTTGGGCATGCAGCCAGACTTGGCAACCGGAAGGAGTAGTGATCAGCGGACCCCTGCTCAAGGTATCTCTCAAAATCAAGCTAGGTGGACTACATCAACAGCTGCCCTGGGTGAAGCTTCAGGTGTATGCACGAAGCCTTGTTCTGCCAAACGTACTTGCAGGGCTGAGTGTAAAGACTAGAAGCTGTCATACAAGGCGGGCCACTGAATTGCCACTGAATTGTCCATGATTGTGACACCTGCCCCGAACGTGTGGCCAGGCAAACGTTGGGATGAAGCTGTTGACCTTCTTCGCCAGGAGACCATCAGCGTCACTGGATTCCCAAACCCTCTTTCACAAAGTGATTGAATTTGAAACTGAATGGCCTTTTCTAAGGATGACTGATGCTGTCTGTTTTCGAGCTTGCACAGCCTGCCAAACCAACCTGTCTCTGCCCTCGGTGAGAACCCCCGAAATGCGAGAGGAACTTCCAGCTCAGCGGGTGGTGCCAGAGCCAAGGCTGTACGGTCAGTTGGTGCTACCCCCAGTCCGCTGTTTTCAGGAGTCCAGGGTCGAGGGTCTAACTCTAACTCATGGATTCCTTTGAGGCTTGGGTTCGGAAGGTGGGCAGCGGATATTTTGGCGAGCCTCGAGGAGCATGTTGGTTGTGTTGTTCTGGCAGCCAGCGAGGCGATTTCGAAGTCAGTGTGCTTAATCCACGCACCAACTTGTTGATGGGATCCAAATGTCCTCCTGTGTAATGCGCCTGCTGCGCACTCGTCTGACGGACCCCTGGTTGGGCAGCGCGGTAGCGTCGTGGAACCTGCCAGCGCAACTGATTAGATGCCCCTTCCAATCGTCGCGGGTGTTGCGTGTTGCAGCAACTCCGTTCATTGGTCATGCTTCGACTCCCCCTCACGCAAGGCCAATTCTCAGGGCTCAAAGCAGTCCTCTGAGGCGCAGTGCTGCCTCCGCGACCGACAGGGCCGGCGTGCGACCGAGGCTGTGCAGAGCGACTTGCGCCTGAGAAGCTTGAGAGAAGTGGCTAATCGCTAATCATGGCCTGGCTGTTCAAGGTCTTCTCACTACAATACCAGACTTAAATGGGGAAGAAAATAAATCCCTGTGCCTTGCAGGTCTACAAGATGCTCACAGATCATTCCACGCCCACTGCCGCGATGAACAGCACGCTTCTCGGCATGTGTGCCAAGCTCAACATGCTGGACACAGGCCCAGAGGGGTTGGCAATCAAGGATCAGAGGCAGCCATAGTGGTGGCGGATCTGTTGATAGTGGCCCTGTAGTTGTGCAAAGTTGAGTTGACGCGCCGTAGCGAAAGCTTAGCACCCGTGGGAGGTGCGGAGATCATGCACTTGGCAGCCAATGCAGCTTCCCGCGTCGACCCAAGAGATGCAGCGATGATGCTTGAGGCGGCTGCTGAGAGCTTTTGAGTCTTGTTGCAGCATGCCTGAAGTCTAGAGCATTAGGGAACAAAAGGTTGGCATTGTGCATGCAAGTTGAGGGTCTTTCCATCGTTTGACAGGGTGTTCGGGCGTGAAGTATATTGCGCTGGTGGTTGGATTGGACTCCACAGCCGTGCTTAGAGTCTTAGAGCCTGGTGCCTCGACCCAATGTCTCAAGCCTTCTCAGCTGCTCTGAAGCTATGAGGTTCCACGAGGGAATACAGAATCAAGTTCAGATGACTCATGCTGAGGTTCTACTGGTAGCTAGCAGGATTCACGTGCTTCGACATGTCTCGATTCGTACGAGCACAGGGCTATGGCAAACAAGGATTTTGGTTTAAGCAGCTATCTGAATATCCACGTTGAAGGCGAGAGTATCGCGGAGAACGTTGCTGGCTAAGCTAATAGTACCCCTCACGACGAACGGCAAGCCCTTGAATGACAAGACGACACTCCGGGCTACCACCATCACCTCGCAGCATCCGTGAGAAATGATGGGTGAGTGCTTTGATGAAATTTGGTTGGAAGTTTATGCTTACTTGAGCCCTACTTGAGCCTTGCCCTAAAGATGAAGAGTCACCCTATGTCGCCATAGCTCACACTGTGCATCATACCTTGGAGCGGGTGGTCGCCACCCTCAGCTTTAGGCTTGAAACATTTAAGCCTGAAACCAGCTCGGAGGCCAGGTCAACCCACAACAACGAAATCCCAAAGCGCTGAATCCAAAATCAAGCATCCAACCGTGCCCGTTCTGGTGATGCAGGCCGCCCTTCGCAAGAAGAAGCCGCAAGTAATGGACACTCTGAAGGAAGTTGGGCTGCGCAGATAGACCTCCCAGGGTTAGGTCGTCATACTGCTAGCCTGAAATGACATAAGTCGTGTCACGAGGAGTTCTAGAAGAAGGTATTCATGAATTCGAGACAATTCTCACTGGTCAGGGTCTTTGGGGAGGGTTGGGATGCAAGGTAGTGGGAGTCCTCCATAAACAGGAAATGTCGGAAGCATGTAGGTATCCTATGATGCTTGGCACTATCGCGTAGAGAGCTCATGGAATTATCTTCTGGCTTTGGTAAGTCTACTCGGATCATGGTCGCGCTTTGAGTCACAGAAGGAGGCCGTGTTCTGGGGAGTACATCGGCACCCCATTGTTCGCAGGTAGCTAAATTGTGGCTTTGCCCTTTGCGTCATCTGCAGGGAGCCAGCCGTCTGTTGCCTGGTAGCTTGTTGACACCCAGGGTTGATTTTCGTGGCCAGCAGATTAAAGGTGTGGATGCATAAAAGGAAAGCCCTCAATGCTTCCTCTAGATCACTTTTGGATGCATAACATGGAAGCAGGATGCCATGATCAAGTTGAAGCTTCCGGCTCCTTTGCTGCAGTTCCAGGTTTCAGGAAGTTTAGAGCTTCTCTTTGACACTTTACGCAGAGCAGGTAAGAAGATTCAAGGGGGGGACCATTGCTTCTGGAATCCCTCGAATTCTGAAAGGCCCGTCTTGGGTCCTTCCTTTCTTTAAAGGCTTAACACTCTGGAAGAAAGCATGGAGCCCCAACAGGGGACAGTATAGTTCCACTGGTCTCAGCTGAGGTTCACGCATAAAAGCTTCTGAGCCGGGTGCAGACGGTTGCGCAAAACGGTTTTGGCAGATTGCAAAGTTGAAAAGAGTTTCTGCCTGCGTTAGGGATGGCTCTGCTGTATTAATATGGCTTCGGTTGGAGCATTGAAAGCAGCCGGGATGACAGAGAGAAGTACCAGGAAAAGCCTCGCGATAATGGGAGCCTGACAGCGGTGGTGATTACAGGGCTGACAGCAACAACTTAAGTGACAAGAATCACCAACGTGAACGTTCCCTACAGCAGGTATCATGATCGTGCAGTACTCGTGTCGCTTGACATCATCACTACCTTCATTGTCATCAGGTGCATTGCTATGGTGCGACTGTTGCTGCTATTTATTGTCCACGCTGATTGTATTGCTATACGTCTTCTTCTTTTCTTCTTACGACTTACAAGTGTAATTAGCGTTCATTAGTTACAGTCAAAGCTGCCAACGCCGCCGCAAGCGCCTGAGATTCGAGCTAGACACGAGAAGCAAAGAGACTTGGGATGAGAAACAGGGAGCCCTCCATGCTGATGATGCGGGCGCTGGCTGGGGGTAGGGTGGGTGGGTCAGCATCATGAGCATGTGAGTACGTCTCTGTTTCTCATCCGCAGGGCCTCCTGTACACCCTGTCAAAAGCTGTGCACTTTGAAGCCAGACTGCACCTGCGGAGCAGGTTGGCGGCCCAACCCCTGGCGCACAACTCGGCTTCGCCCAATTTTCAATTTCCCCAGCAAAAGTGACATTATGACATTATTCGAAGTATCATTGCTTATCATCTTGTGGAATTCTTGCTGGGAGGATCCTGGGCTGCTCCACCTATGGCCGGCCGGACCTGGTGGAACGTGCTCTGGCCCCTGAGGCCCGGCCTCTCCAGTCGTTGCCTTGTTTGGAGTTGAGATGGTTTGGAGTTGTGCAAGACAACGGTTCTGGCAATATAGGGATTATATTGAGAGAGTGGAAAATGCAATGGAAACTACTATTTAGGGATGCCATATTTAGGGTTTTAGGGTATAGGGTTTTCCAAAACCATTTCCTGACCTTTGGCCCACATTCATAGCCGAATCAGTAGAGCAGTGGAGCCAGCCCCCGTGGTGCACACACAATATTCCCAAGTCGCTAAACCGGTGACTCGGTAACGTTTGGTGAGGTATAGGACCTAAGTGTTTTGTATTACTATGATCGCGACTATCTCTTTCATGTTGCTACGCTCTTCTGCTTTTATCAAGCTGGTTATTCATGCTGATCAGCAATGCTACTGTGAATGCATATCCAGGTCCGTGCAGACTACCTTGGTAGCGGGGCCATCTTTGCCACGCCAACGAAGCGCAGCTCCACTGCCAAGGCAGAAAATAGCTACACTAGGAATCAGAGAGCTTCAGTGGGATATCAGGTTTTGCTGGTTTTTCTTGGCTTGCAAGCTCTGAGCCCAGAGTCTCCTAATCTGCTACCGCCAGTCACCCGAGTCACCACCAGTCGCCGCCACCTCTACCGCCAGCGCTACTGCCACCGCCAAGGCCACCGCCAAGGCCACTCCACGCAAGTACAGCGCCACATCAGCACAGCACAGCGCCACACCGGTACAGAGCCACACCAAAAAAGGTCAATGCTGTACATCTCCTATCCATGACAATGGCTCAGCCCAACTTGGATCACTCCCACGGTAGCTTTCCCGACCTATTAGTGATGAGTAGGGAATTAAGTACCGAGACTCCCTGCCATCCGAAACCAAAATGTGAAGCCTCAAGCACGGCACACGTGGCAACAGCTCCCCCCAGAAGGTGAAGGTGAATGTCAGGGTCAGGCTTTTGGATAGGCGTGAGACGGAAGCTGGTATCAGGTTGGGTAGCAGCGCTCGTGAAACTGGACAGGAAATCTTGACAGGGGAGAGATTTGTTTTTTCTTGGCTAAGCTAGGAGCCAGCGCTACTGCTCACCAAAGGAGTGGAGGTGCCGGCTGAAGGTTCGCCTGCCTAGTAAGGGGCTTTCAATGCTGGATCGATCACCTGGCAAAAGAGGCGCTTAACAAATATTAAACCTCAACACATAATCACAATCTGCACAGCCAGAAGCCCGCCATCTTCAGGGCTTGCAGCACCTTCCGGGACTGCGCAAGCATGTGGACGCCCAGGTGCCTTGTGCGAAAGGTTCTAGATTGGTTGTGCCACTTTTGAATGGTCTTTGTATTGTAATCACGGAAGTGTTGGTTTCATTCTCATTCTTTGCCAGCTTTGCTTATGTTATGCTATGGCCATGATTGTCGTTCTATTTGCACAGAGTTTGCGGTTGCTTGTTTCTGTGGGTACTGAGGTACCCTGTGCTTTGTAGAGAGTACCCCCCCAGATCGTGAGTCTTAATTCCTTTTCGAGCTGGAACGAGAAGACAACTACGCTTTCTCTACTGTGTGCCTTCGTGCCCTTCGAGAAAGTGCTTGAACTTGTGCAGAAGAAGTATCTCAAGGCAGCTGAAGGATTCCTGCCAGATGCAAACAAGCAAGGCTCATGTTGTTGGCTCTTGTCCATGTCCAGTCAGCGCGGAGAGATACCCTTGATGGCTGTGGCCTTCTTGAAGAGAAACCAGTATGCCCAGGACCGCGGTGTTTGGTTGCCTCTGTTTGCATGCAACAACCCCTCTATGGGCAATACCGATGTGCGGACTCCAAGTGTTCTGGTGGGCTTTCCACACGATGGTCGACTGACCGTTCATCCCAGAGATCCTTCCAGGATCAGGGCTATCCGTTTGGGGCAGAGATTTTGTTAGGATTTATGGCTTTTGCGTTCCAACGTGGTATGCTCATGCCAACTGCTTCGAGCAGTAGTTGGGTGAGAGCTTGGAGATGTTGCAGACCATCAAGTTTGCTTGGTCGAAGCCTTGCTCCGATTGTGAGCCGGGTCGGCTCAGCCGGCATTGCCCTCGGTGAAGGCGAATCATGGCTGAGGTCCTTGCCGATGCCTTGGAGCGTGTCCCTCCGGCAACAAGGAGAGCACCGCTTTGGCCCATACTCTTGGTTGGCATCCGCTGTGAGATCACATGGTTAGGATCGGCCATGCTTCATAAATGCTGGCAGAGTCTGCAGGGGCCTTTCATGGGATGCTAGCTAGGGTCAATTTTGCCTTGCACATTTTGCACAGACGTTTCTGAACAATTGGCCATGTGTGGCAAATCATGACCAGAACATTGGAATTCAAATATTAAGCCGAGAGCTGCTGTGCCGCAGCGCAGAAGCAGGGTGAGCTGGACAAGATTTTTTGGGCCTTTGCGTATCAAGGCTTTACCATATGCTGTGCAAGACGTACACTTCGTTGTCGTACTTGGCCTGCTTGCTCATACAATCTGACGGCTTTTTGGATGAGATCGATTGCTGGTACACATGGCAGTCAAAGCCCATACCCATGCTGGTGGACTCGCCAGCCATTCATGGTGATAACAAGTTGACACTGGTAATGTTGTTCGTGCCCTGTTTTATTACCGCTACATCAGCATTAGTGGGTGGGAATCCACCAAACATAACAGCCTCATCCTCATTTGGCATTTCACATTTTTGGGGTAGATGGTATGTAGACTATAGCAGAGAGAGGAGCATGCGCATGTGACCTCTGCGATGATTTAGACCCGACTAATTAAATGCCTGTGACCAGCAGCCGCCAGGACCGGCCCTTGGGGTTGGCACTTGAGGCTTAGACAGTTTTACAGTGTCGGACTTTATGCCATCCTTTTTTCCAAGTCGTGTTGACTTTCCAGCGTTGCGCTCAGCGAACCTCGCCGCTTATGCCGGTCGAACCTCTGCAGCCCCCGAAGTTTGAAGACAGAATTTAAGCCGCACGGCAGTTGCCGGTCTCCCTTGAACCACCACAAGGGCTTTCTTGGAAGTAAGGCGAGTGGCCGACACGTTCCCATTGTGGCAATTGGTGGTGTGACGTCCTCAGAGCCGGTGGTGAGCTTTTCCATTTTTCCACATATGTCTTTTGATGGTCATTGCAGGGCATTTCTCAAGAGAAGGACCCCAGCCTTTTGTACCTGAGAAAAGGAAAGCTTCTTGAATCTTGGTACAGGGCTCGGGAAGCGCTGAATGAATGGAACCTTTTTTTTTTGTTGTTTGGTCTTTTTTGTTGTTGGGTCGCTT